GCTGACCGTTTGACGATCTAGATTCTCAAAATACGGTTATCTCCAGTCGTTCAAGATCATGGACCCTCCACACGACCCCTCGCTACTCTCTGACAGCTGTCATTGGCAAATTTGATTTTACTCGGCCCTGACTGAGCATACCTTCCATATGCGAGCACTCATGACTTGCGCTATAAGGGTATAAGGGTTCACGTTCAGAGCCCGCTCTCTTCCCTTGAGAATCATTCTTCTCTCGCCCGATACCTCACAAGGGACGGGAGTCGTTTGGCTCGTTACCCGCTTTTCTCCACTGCAAGATGTCAGCCCCGCCGTCGCTGGAGGATAGATTGAAACCATGGTTTACGACTGAGGTCATGATCGTCCAGCCATTAGCCCCAGTGAAAAGCGTACCTATTTAGATAAAATTAGGTATGTTTTAGTATGCACGCATATCAGATCATAGCACAATACAAGAAACTATGGCGCGTTAAATTCAGATATAATTTGCTGGGATTGTCTAAGGTTATGATCGGGCAGGCTCTTGGTTGATGACATTAAGTGATTACAAGGGACTTGAATACAACTCGGCGCGTACGTAGAGCTACTATAACATACTGTTGAGCCCATATAATCTCCATCTCACATACTTTGCTCTGCTGGTAAAGTTGAGAGAGGTTCGACCGGTACGACGTTACCTTGGCCTTTCTTACGTTGCACGGTTACTGCGCGTTTCTGGGGACAGGTAAGTCATGGAACCGCATCCTTTGACCTTGCACGTACCGCTAGCGTTGCCCCTCTAGACTCCTCTCTGAAATCCTGATGGACGCAAGGCATGTTAGGTAGACCTCGGATACAAATTGGTGATGTACACACTTCTTTTCTTCCGTCTGTGAGGTCGTTGAACCACGCAGTGAAGTCATCATCATAGGCTACATTTCCGGTCCTTCCTTGCTCTTCGATGAATGCTTTGCGTGCGAGGTTCCTTCAAGATGTCAGAAGATCATTCATAAGCGAGCAATGTTAGGAAAACTTACTGTGTAGACGACGAGCTGTTATCCTTGCACCTATTCCTCTTCCTCGTCACCTCTCTTCTGTTCTTGGTTGCTTCGGTTGCTGGCGCTGGCATGGGTACCGGTGAGTTTGCGGTATTGGCTATGGTTTCGGCAATGCCAGGAGGCAGTACCGGGGTCGCGACTGGCGGAGGTTGGGAGTGGTAGAAAAGATTGGAGACCGGCACGTTGGTCGACTCGGCTGATGACAATGGTGCGGGTACCGCCATGTTCATCATGGTACTGGCTGGAGCGTCAGTGACACCACCACGAGGTGGTACAGGGGTTGTAGTTGGCGAAGGTTGGGAGTTGTGAAGATGGTTCGTCACTGGTGTGTTGGTTGTCGCTTCGCCTGGTGTGCGGACGGCATTGAATGACCGATACAAATCAAGGTCGTCGCTGTCGTACTCAAATCAGCACATCGGACAATACTGGCATAAAGAGTATTCACTTACCATGGATTCCGAATGAACATTGACAGTACTGCATCGTCATTAGGGTTGTTCGCGGGCAGTAGAAGGAGGTAGAGATTCTAAGTATCTGGATGTACTATGGTTTGGCTGAGAGAAGCTTTGGGAACGTTGTTGATTAGAGCGACGAGAGAGGTTAACCAGGTATGCCAAGTAAGAAGTTTGTGTGCTGCCAGTAGTTTGTAGCCCTTGGGAACGGAGCAAGTCATCAACTTGACGATGCTAAGGCAAGATATATGGCTTTGGCGTCCGAGAAAGTGAAATACTGCGCGTGGTACGAGAAGGCATCATCGGGTGATCTGAAAGACATCGCGAATTAGAGTATCGACGTGTCGTCGATCGCGTCTCTCAGATCAATCATAGAGGTCTAGTCAAATCATTCTGATGTCAGCACTAGGAGGAAAGATGACAAGAGGCTGAAACTTCACATTTATTCAAGAAGAACATAAAAATCATACGCTATTTTATCGAAACATATCTAAATAGGTGCGCTTTTCATTGGGCATTAGCGTCTATAACAGTGAGCGCCCTGCTTTACTTTTGATTTGGGCGGTAATTTTTTGACACATTGTGATCGCCAGGTCACTTGGTTTGTCTATGGTGCGTCCCTAGCCATGTATCCCGTCCGTAACTAGGCTGACTTTAGGCTTTGATTTAGGTTTCTACATTGCCTTGTTCATCGTCGCCCTCAACAATCTATACAAATACCGACGAGAGAATCGGCGGCTATACCTCGCCTGGACTGTGCTCTTGTTCTTTCTTTGTACCCTGAACAACGTCTTTGAGACGTGGTACCGTGTTCGTCAGGCGATAAAGATCTATACTGGTGAACATACAAAGGACTACCCGACATTGCAAGCCTACGCTCAACATGATTTGATCAAGACTGTGCAGAGGTTAGTGTAGACCCTCTACATCCCTCAAGCTCGGACCTGACGGCATCTACCCAGGGGTTTCTTGATGATCTTACCCATTATAGCCAAGTAAGTCTGGCCCAAGAGTCTCGATGGTGGCCCGTTTCTCACCGCTGACTACTAACTCAATGATATCAAGTCTCGTCGCTGAGTCGATGCTCGTATGTGTTTTCTTATAATCATACTCGCAGCCTTCTAATGTGTTATTTCTCGCAGATCCATCGATGTTACGTCGTCTGGTTTGGTAACAAATGGGTTGGAATCATTCTCTTGGTTCTTTCGGTGTTGTTGAACAGTGCGTCCACCTTCCTTTGTGTTTCGTTCGCCGAACTGATGAAAACCTCTTTACGGGACATAGGCGTCGGACTCGCAGGCTGTATAATGTTTACCATTGGTTTCCGCGATACACGATTCCCCGAACACATCGCCCTCCTTCTCAAGGGAAACAATATCAATAACGGATATCTAATCGCGAATGTGGTCTTCAACAGTCTCTTGACAGCGCTGACAGGTACACGTCTTTTGCGAGTCTTCGAGTTGTGTGCTGACCAAAATGTTCCGCTCGTGTTAGCTGGACGAATCTATGCGATTAGTCTCGAGGCTCGGAAGTTCCTCGCCGATGATGGCATCAACAAGACCTACAAAACAGTCGTAGCTGTTGTGTACGTCGGCTTGTTTCCCTTTTTCTATGCGAGCCAATTATCTGAAACGCTGACAGCATTGAATCGGGGCTGATATACCCTACGTCGTTGATCATCTACATTGTCATTCTCCTACGACTTGACCCCAACAACCAGAGTCTACTCCCTGTGGACTTAAGCCCGTTGTTTATGCAAGCTGCTGTACGTCGGCTTTCGATCCATCTTGTCGTATCTTTTGAATGATAATGTTGGGCCTCTTTATAGGGAATTGCACCAACACTCATTATCGTCCGTGCCCTCCAAGGCAAGACAACCGACAGCGTCGACCAAGTCGTCTCCGCGAATAATCACGACCGGACAGCCACCACTGCGACGACAAGGAGTAGGATCAGGTTCGCTCCCGGTGCTCGAGGAGTGAATTCGACGACGATGACGACGACGGGTGGGCAGATTACCCACCATGCTGTGGATCTGCCCGACGGATATTCGGGTGTGAGTTCGGGGGATAGTGAAAAGATGGAGGGAACACCAAGTGTCAAGGAACAGGTTTGAATATCGGGATCACATTCGCCGGTAGTAGTACTGGCGGGAATGGTTTGTACTTTATCGTTGTATTATACGTTATATCTGAATTTCAGGCCATTTACTGATCTACTCCTCGTCTGTTACATGCACCTTCAGATCGAACTCGTCAGGTCGAAGAAGATGCTCCGGTTGTTTAGCCCATTCCGCTATCTTGTCGAATTTCCGGCAGGTATGAGGAGTCCCCGAGCGACCCATTGTCATGTTCTTCTCTGGAACCCACTCCCACACTATCAGGCTCACGTCTGTGTAATTGCGTTGAAGTCAGCGACCATCTTCAGACCTCCAGGCGAAGAACTCACCCGAAGCACACGTTATACCCTGCCGAATATGTTCAACGCAGTGGGCGACGTGGTTCATATCATCTTCATGCGTGTTGTTGTGGCCGGGAGGATACAGACCATGGTAGTAATCTGGATACAGGGCCTTTCGAATCATATTCTGCGGAAGCCCAGACGGGTCCAGTCAGTTGGGCAAAAAATCAGGGACAGGGACCGCTATCGCGCGCAACGCACCAAGCAATGTAACTGATGGAAAACATCGAGTTGAACGGCATATCGGTTTCGGTCTCCCGATATCCTCACAGTCTCAAGTGGAAGTTGGTCTGCTTCGTGTTTCTCTATCTTTGACATGCCGACTACGAGTGCGAGGGTGAGTATTCTCAATGCGTGATGATGATAACGCGTAAAACTCACATCCGTACAGCTCGTCCCATGCGGCATCTACTTCGGATGACGGGGGTCCCATGTATTTTGTGGTGTCTCCGTTGATCCCACTATGAAAGGTGACCACTTCGTGTTCTATGAGATGGTTTACAGGCGCTTGGAAGCGTTGAACTTGGTTTTATGCAGTTGAAGTTGAAATGAGTAGACTCACAATATAACAGCTTCTCCCCGTAGCCAGATTGACGGTCCTTCTCGTCTCCACCTCCAAACCATTGCGCGACGAGAAAAAGAAAGAAGATTACATTGAAAGCTCCCGAGACGACGAACATCACATTCTTGAAACTGGACCGCTTTAATCGTCGATGGGATGTCTGTGAGTATAGTTGCTTGGCCTCCTCTCCGAGACCTTCGTCTTGAGTCAAAGGTTCGTACATGGGTCGGTTCATTGTGGGGTGATCGTGATCGAAGGGAAGAGGATTCAGCTCATGCTTTTTGGGAGACACCGATGAAGGACTTTACCTTTTTCGGTCAGTTCGACCTGAGCCATCAGCGATCAAGGATCAATGATTCCGCAGGGTCGGAATTGGAACCCTGACGAGGTACGAGGTAGGTTCTGATACCGGTGATTATTTTCGGGATTCATTGCGACCGGGGTGCGCGAGTGTGTGTGGAGGAGACCACTCGCTCACATTGGTGGAAGCCGACCATAGCTCAGTTGGAAGAGCACAAGACTGTAATTGGCTAGCTGTGACAAATCTTGGGGTCGCCTGTTCAAACCAGGCTGGTCGGAGTGGATAATGGACAATCCGTATTTTTCTCTTCAGAATGGAAGAGGATAAATGATCACGCTTCAACCTGTCAGTGGTTTTTTCTCGACTTCAGTTAGCCGAGCTGGGGAGGGAGCCAATGTGTTGTCATGATTGTTGGCCTTTCGGAGTCCTTTGTGGGCTTTAATGGTACTGGTTGACTCTTTGTTCGTCATACTCACTCGATATGGAGGCGCTGTACGTACCGAAATAAAGGAGTGCCCTTTCATCTTTGAGGTCCCATTGATCATTAATCATTCCACGACCTCCACACGACCACTCGGCTATCTCAAACAGAATCTTGTCTTTTCCACAGCGCTTTCACGTTGTAAAAGGCCTTGATCTGCTTTTCTCACCATGTACATCAATGAATCCGATGAAAGGGCATGATTTTAGAGTGGCTGACCTTCAGGACTTTAAAAACCGCGGCACTTTCATTGCTGGGCTCTGCGAAATACCTCCCCATTTCTTCGGTTGCGTCCATCTCACTCGAACATATCATGAACGGATTTACTACGCAGTGAGCCCAGGATGCGACCCCAATTCACGCCTGATCAACAAACTCACTATTTGTGCAGCTCTGACGATGATTATGCCATGGGACAATCATCCCAGGAAACCGTTGTAATGGGTGAAGCGACACCGTGAGTCGCCCTAACTCGGCCTTGCCACTTTCTCTCTCTTCAAGGCACTCATTCCTCTTTTTTTGCGCTTCCATCAGTCCCAGCACCCAAACATCTGACGATCCGGCGTTCATGTCGTTTACAGCGGGCCAGAACAGCGATCTCGCGAAAGAAGTCAAATACACGTTGCTCTATCGAGACCCCGAGCAAGTCATCGAAGCACTTGTGACCGCCATCGAGTCCGAGAGACTCAACGATCAGAACAAACTGAGGGTCATTCTCGAAGTACTAGAAAGCGTGAGTGTTGCCCATCCCAGTGCGAGCCGGGCCGTGGAGGAGGGGAAACTCGCGCGGCGTCGCCACTGCCAAATTTGCCACTCGCATTATCGAGAGGTCAACAATGTGTATAATGCTTGTTACGGTGAAGGCATGGAACGAGGGAGACATAGTTCCGATGGAAAGTGGGAGGGGGAATGCAACGAGTGCCTGGGGCTAGTGTATTGATTCCGACAAGTGAGACGAAGCTTTTCTTTCAGGTTCTTGCCATCTCATAATTGACGGAAGTCGTGGCCAAGCTTTTGCTTTTGCCGTTTTCTCTCAGTATCTTCGCAAGTTTCATTTAGTCTCAATGAGTTAGTACTATAGGATCATTGTAATTTCGGGCCTTATCGAGTATCAATCAAACTGCAATTATGCTTCGACTTGGGGGGATGACCAGCGCTCGATGGGCGCTCCGAGTGCTCGTTCGGCAAAGGCCGAAGTTCATTGCACTCGGGTGACGCACACGTTTTCTGGAAACTGACGTCCATGTATACTTCCACTTGGCCCTGCCCAACTCTACCCATCGGAATTACATATGACCCATCCTGTGTCATATCAATCACTCTTTATGTCATGAATCTTGCATCCCTTCAAGGCTCGGTTTCGGGAATCGGTACAAGAGAAGGCACGTACTAGAGCTGTTCTCGTAAGCGGAGGAGCCCTGTTTCCGAGTGAACTATTGCTGAATAGATCCTAGACTACTTCGGAGTATACACTTAGATGGAGTAGTGGCTATTCTGCATGAACAATCCCGATAGGACGACCGGATCAATTCAACTGTGCATCGCTCGCGTCGCTAAAAGTGCGGTTTGAAGGTGAGAATAGCAGAGGCATTTCACTAGTACGATATCCCCAAACTGACCCTATCGTTCTGGAAATAGGACAAGCTTCTCGTCAGCAGCCAGCGGTTTCAGCTTTGAATGATTGCTACCTCCCGGTGTCCAGACCAAGCATGTATGTACACGCAAAGTTCCTGCAGTCTGTATTGTGTACATGTTGCCTCGAGGTTCACGGTGTCGATCTGACTGGTCATGCGGTTTCCATTTGTCCTCATGACTGGGGCTTCAGTGAATCGGTCAATTAAAAAACCGGCAAGCTATCCCTCGATTGAATTCTTTCGGATTGCAGCGCTCATTTTTCCTGTCAATGACCTATGTTAGACCAGGTTCACACATTCTCACTCGGCGCAGTCCTCATTAAATCCTCACATACATACTTTATTTACGACCTGTGCCTCAGAGAAACATAAAAGCACACGACAGTCTCTCGAAGGCAGATCCCGTCTCTCTCTCAGCTCGGTAATCATGCTGAACTCCTTCGATAAAAGCCTGGGGTAAGATTTCCTACTTACTCCATCATGAT